ATGGCTCACAAATCTGCTAAACCAGATATTTTAATCCAAACTTGATGCAACATTTTGGGATGTCTGTATTATCAAAAAGGAAAGTTCTTTTTCCTTTGGGAAAGAGATTCCCTAGCAAGCAACCTTACATTGATTTTCATAAATGGACACTGAAAAGGAATTTATGAACTGCAGAACAGACTCAGGGATTTACAAGTTCAGCAGCTTTATCCAAAGTGTGTTCTCAAAGCAGTATGCAGACAGTAGTCAAACTGATTCGAATATGCAATGACAAGTGTAGAGTTAGTTGTATCAAATTTGCTAGTAGGATACTTAACTTCTAACTTCATAAAACATGAGGAAGCAAATAGAATTTCTAGCAGGACAAACTACACCTAAGAAGAAAGTTCTACAGATCTATATAATTTGCACAACATAAATCAATTCTAGCCACCTGATAGTACGATCAGACTTCCTTGTCATCGTTTAACAGAAAGAAAAAGTGAAATGCATTTAAGAGCCAGTAGAAAGATCAATAAGACTTCCAGCAGCTTAAATGGTACTGTGAATTCTGCTTTCATAATAAGTGCTTGAAAAACTCCATTTAGCCAGAGTGCAATACTGAAAGGTTAAAACCCTACTTCATACAAGAAACAGAATGCAAAAAAAAGTTTTATTGTTTTTCCTTGTAGACTGAAACCTGACTATTTCTGTGGGTAGTTTTATGTCACAAAACATTCCTGGAACCCCTTTTTCTAAACCATGTTTTCCACCTAAAATTGATTTTTTTTAAATAGTTTTAAAGTTTACAATGAAGCTACATATACTACGCTTATAGCCTTCCACTTCTGTTTCATGCAAGGACAGTATTCAGGATAACTCAATAGACCAGCCATGTTCAAAAGCTACTGACTTTTTCTAAAAGGGCAAAGTCATTACAATTAGTTGTAACTGCGGTGGGATATTTTGTCACAACCAAAGAGATTACAGGCATACCTTGGAGATATTGCGGGTTCGGTTCCAGACCACAGCAATAAAGTGAATATCGCAATAAAACGAGTCACACGAATTTTTTGGTTTCCCAGTGCATATAAAAGTTATGTTTACACTACAGTGTAGTCTATTAAGTGTGCAATAGCATTATGTCTAAAAAACCAATGTACATACCTTAATTAAAAAATACTTTATTGCTAAAAAATGCTAACCATCATCTGAGCCTTCAGCGAGTTGCAATCTTTTTGCTGGTGGAGGGTCTTGCCTCAATTTAAAAAAAAACGCAATATCTGCGAAGCGCAATAAAGCAAAGCGCAATAAAATGAGGTATGCCTTTATATGTTCAGAGATAAACTTTAAACTGTAGCACTTCCTTCATAATGTTACATGTGAATCCCTTAACAGCCTCCCCAGACAACAGCAGATTTGTCAGGACAGTCACCCTAGACATTATTATCTCTTCACAAGTGCAAACTGGTTATGGTTTTTAACCAAGCAAATAAAATAGAACAATTTTTTTCCCCAGTATATACCTTACATGGCTATTTAAGAATGCAGCTTAACTCCCAGGTTATTCCTTTATTTATTTACTTTTAGATGTGAAAAATAGCATTTCAATACACCACAAGATGCAATATTCTACTCACAAGTTAAAAATGTGGTAAAGGACACCCAGATTGCTTTTAGTTACTGAATACAAAGGGAAGTTCAATTCCGTATCAGAACGAGACATTGTGGCAGACTTAAATTTTACATTACAAGTTCTTCCTTATGACTACAGCACATGGAAGGAAACACGTTGTGTGAACAAGTCCATTGTTTGAAACCCTTCTTCATACCTCATCAGAGCAGCTAAATATAAACAAAGTTGGTTATCAGCAGAACTTGCAGATTAAGTTTCACTTATCAAGGAAAGACAGAGTAATGAGAAGCATTATTGCAAGTCTTCCAGGTACTATATGCCTGACAACTGATAGACGCATCTCCACCAAGATTAAGCAATTCGTGTTTCTGATTCCATGAGATTTTTTTTCCCCCCCGCTTATGAGCAGGTGAAGAAAATTTCATAAATGGATAAACTCAGTAGGCTCATTTCATAGTTTCATGGTTGTTAAGGGCTGGAAGGGACCTTACAGATCATCAGGTCTAGCCCCCTGTGCTGGGCAGGAAAGACTGCTGGGATCAGATGACCCCAGCAAGACGGGCATCAAGACCCTTTACATGTTCAAGTCTTTTTTGGTGATGTTTTCAAACCTCTGCACGTTCATTAAAAAAAAAAAAGTCAAGAAGCTTGTCTTTATAGCTAGGGTGCTTTGTCTCTAAATCCCTACGTAACTGATGGGTTTAGGTTTTCACTTGCCAACAATTCACTGTAGATAACACCATGGCCTGTGAATTCCCAGTATCGCTGGCAGTAGTAAACCCATAGCATGCCACTAAACCAGGGGCAGGCAATTATTTTGGGCGGAGGGCAGCTTACTGAGTTTTGTAATACTGCCGAAGCATCAGCACCAGCCTCTCCCTATTGGACAGATTTTTGTTTTAAAAATGCAAGGACACAAATACACAGGGATTTCAATGACAATTTCCAATCTAAAACAATGAATGTTCTTGCCTGTAATTAGAAGCAACTTAGACTGACTCAGTTTCAAAATATAAACAGGCCGCCCACTAGAACTACCAACACAGCTCAACAGTTTTAAGCAGAATCTCTGCAGATAAGTCTGCTAAGAGATGTGTACTGTGCAAGCACTTCCCAGTGCACAGCATAATTGGACTCAAATCCTTTTATATATTTTTTATGCCTGGAGATGACATCCTTTATATTAAACATTCACATATTGACATTATAGACATAACGTTTTTATTATGAGCTCACTCCTCTCTTCCGAACTGCAATGTGGTGCATTTCTATTTAATAATATAGCCTTTGGAATTATTAGGCAACTACCACTTCACCTAGTTTCAACAAGAGTCTCTTCACTCCATCAGTGTTCGCTCGCAGGAAACGTGTGGGATACTAGTGGACACTACAGAGAATGCATATGCATTCAGTTGGGTCTGTCTTTGAGGACATACAGCAGAAAAGTTGTCTGTTCAATTCTATCAGACGCATCAAGGATTGAATAGTCGTTGAAAGAAAGCAACTTTCCCACACAAAGGTGGTTTAATTCCAGGTCACTATTAAGGAATGCTTAATGGCACAGTAAACAGAAGGCTGCACTGCCAGACTTGTGCTAGGATCCACTGTGAGACTATCAAGTTTTTTCCCCTTAGGGATACCAAATCTACATGTTGTGTAAGCACAAAACCACCTGACATTTAAAAAAAAAAAATGGATACAAAATGAAGGTAGAATCTATTTGCAAACTACCACTTTGGAACTCAGACAGTATTTTAAAAGCTGGCCTTAGTTTCAGCCAACTGAATTTCTACTCAAATATTAGCTGACAATTGTTTTCATATTACCTTTGAAATTCCTTACTTTTACTCAAACTTCCCATGCAAAGCAATATATTTTAGTAAACATGAAAGTAATAGAAACTGAAAAACATCCTAATCTAAAATAGCCAACTTAAACACAAAAGTTATGAACAACCTCAAAACCCTCCTTTCCATTTCAATATATGTTCTTTTTATTTCCCCACTTGCATATCACTTAAAATTGTCTATAAAGTTTCATTTTTAAAAGTCTAAGTGACATATGCATTTGATTAACATTCTTAACCAGCATACATGTTGGCCACTTTGGAAACTTTTGGACTACAGCATAAAAAGTAAGGGCACCCTTGAAGGAATGGGTTAGTGAACAATCCTTTTGAATCGCGGGCTTCCATACATAAATGAAGACAGTCATGCAAACTTCAGGACTAAAGGCAGTGTAGAGCAAGTATATCAGCACCTAGTACAATGGCAGCCTTTACATTTCAGAAAAGGTCAGACCTGGAAAGCGCGAGCTCCCTGCCAGAACTCAGATTCACATTCAGAAATGCTGAAGGTTTCGCTTTCCAAAAGAAGTGAACATCCTCAACTCAATGTGACAGCAATGAAAACTCGGCATTCATGCTTGCCTGAAAAAAAGAATTCTGGTTTGAAAATACCTTACAAGATTTCAAGATTTTGTTTTGGGCTGCAGCAAAACAAAACAGAGTCCTTTTGAAAACCTTTGTGAGACACCTCCCTTCCGTTCAAGGAAAGTCAATAACCTGGAGCAGGTTATGGATTAGGATGGGAGCTAACTTTTTTGGTAGGCCTGCCACAACTTAGTCTAGCACCCTCACCGAGTACTGCTCCCATGCAAGGCAATCCCTTCCCACACAGCCTCTGCTTTCTGTCCTATCTGCCACTGTGCTGCTTGTCTACCCCCCAGTTTGCTGTGTGCCACACACAGGCTGTCCGTGCGACTTGTGGCGCACACACAGCAGGCTGGGCCTGCTAGATTAGGACACTTGCCTGGAATACAGGAGATTCAGGAAGAGGAGGGACCCGAATCTATGGCACTTGGCTAGAACTTGGGAGAACTAATCATCTGGTCATTGGCTATCCTGGGAACCGTCATCCTTTCTGCCATACCAACCAGAAATTTCATCTTAAGACACCAGAAACCACCCCAACAAAAGTATTGTCAAAGCCATAAATTTTCATTTAAAGTTTTAGTTTCAACAAGTCAGCACCTTCCGAAGCAAAAGGGTTTGTTGAAAAATTCCCGATCTGCTTCTGGAACGTCAAACATTACCCTGGCTCATGTTTAAGTTACTCAGTACCTTTTACCTATAGCAAGTATCTACAACTGAAAGCCAACTTTCAAATAACAAAGACCTATGTGAGAAAGTCACCGATTAAAACAGCACAAACCAATGCCCCCGTTGCCATTTTTAACAGACAGGAATCAATGGCTGGATGGTTGTTTAGACTGAACTACCTGGATGACTAAAAGGCAATCTTTCAAAATTGAAATGCCACACAAACGGGCCAAACCACGTGCAGTAAAAGGGTGCAACTCTTCCCAACTTCAGTTAATGCTATACCTGTTCTGTGGAAAAATGGAAGACATTCTCCACGTCTGTCATGCCAGTACTTCTTACAAGACCTGAAATATATGAAAAAAATAATCAAGTTATGTGAACCTATCCTAAAGTTTAAAGTTATTGTACATATGCAGCTAAATGAAGTACAATACTTTCACTAGGACCCATGGGAAGTGTGAACTGGACATCAGGATAATCAAAATCTCAACAGAGAGCAGAAACTTTATATGCCGTCATAAAAACTTTTCTTTGAAAACAAGAAATACACAAAAAAGTTGCAGCTGGACTGCATTAAAGCTCTGACAAATTTACGAATGCTGCAGGATTTGGAGAGAAGACTGACAACAGTAACACACTAATCTCTCTCTCTTCCTTGCATAGAGTGAGTTAATGACAAAGTATTCTGGCTTTGTCCGTTTGTGACATCCACTGACCCAGAATTCAGAGACACTACCTCATAGTTGGTGGATCAGTAGCAACTAGTCTGACAAAGATCCTCTGTCAAGGGTGACAGTCCCTGGCAAGCTCAATCTTGGGGGCAGGGATACAGACTTGGCAGACAATGTCCCAGACCTTGCCAATCTCCACTGGTCAAGCCTACTGAAGTGCCAGCCAAACTTTTCTGCTTGGTTTTAAGAGTACTGCAGAAGTGGCCTGTACAAAAGAGATATTTGTAATTAAGCTGATAACTGTGATACTCCTAGTTTTAATACAATTATATGCACAAGTCATTTAAAAGTAGTTAAGAATACATCACATTCAAAAGCTTGTATGTCCCAACCATGCAGTTAGTTGATCCAATAAAAGGCATCACAAAAAAATCATGGTCTCTTGCATATTTCCTCAGCCACAAGGCTACAACTTCACTCAACACTGCCAAAGTAGTTATTTTACTTATCTATGCTAGCCACGAACCACACTATTCTACAGGATAAGAATGACTATTGCTTGGTTTGAGCATGAGTGGGTTTCTTCACTACAAAAGCTTGCTGAAGAAGCAGTTTACGTGAGAAGGAAGCATGTTTAAGAAAGCCTTACACACAATTTAATTGTTCTCTGTAACAGCTATTACAACCACTGGGAAACCTTTGCACTGGCTTGCATTTTAAACCAGATGACATCCCAAAGTAACAGTGTAGTGGTTTGGGGGGAACCATAATATGCTTCCTTTTTGACAATTGTATATCTATGCAATTGCTTCCAAAACAGGGCAAATAAAAGAGCTGTTACAAAATAACACAAGTTTTACTTAACGCGCCTTTAAACAACAAAATCTATAAGCAACCATTTATAAATTACATCTTCTTGAAATAAAAGATGTAGTTCTCTGCAAGATCTTAGCAATGCCAACAGCCTAACTTTCAAACACTGTCCAAAAAAACCTTGAAATGCATTTAATAAACTATTAGTAACATTTGTCTTGAGAAGAGTACAAGAACAATTCTGAACAGTCAGATTGTACTTTATCATCAATATGAAGATAGCAGAACAGGTCATTTATGCAAGACACACAATTTGAAATCTGACTTCAAAGCAAAAACAAGAAACCAAAAGATTAGGGGCTCAACTTCCTCTCCTTCAGGTTCAGTCACAGGTTAAAATTCAGAAGAACCTGTAAACTCCCTCACATAGTATTCAAATGCAAAACTTACTAAAACAGCAATTTAGCTCCATCTCTACCCTGGCAACATTCTGTCATTGCATCCTTGCACTCTTAGCTCATTTAAAGCTTCCCCAAGAGGAGAAAAGTTCCTCTCTCTTTCCATCCCTTCTCTATTTTATCTTACTCACATCGTTTACCCGGTGTACTCTGCATTCATTAATGAGTTCTTCATCTGTGGTGCATTATGTCTATATCTGAGGTCAAACCAGCATTTTCTGAACAAGTTACCTCACTGGGTAGATTTTTTTTTCAAAAATAAATGCCTTGAGGCACTTAACAGTGATTTCAGGCCATACCCAACAGAAGTTTAATTCAGGTGAGATAAAAACAGAACCACTACTGTCTTCCTGTGGGATAAAGATACTAAACCTAGCAGCAGATTACAAGCAACCAAACCAAGTGTTTATTTTAATCTCATATTTATGTTTTCAAAAACAGTACTAATTATGAAACAACTCTGCTGAAATTACAAGTTTTTCCATTATCTTCCATCACCATTGGTTGTCAACTACAGAAGAGCATCAGACCATTTGACAATTATGGTTGGAGAGGGAAAGTGTGAAGAAAAGATTGAAAAACAACAAAAAAAGTGGAACTCAGATGCTAGCTATGAGAAAAAACTATAGGATTTATGAACAGAAGGTTCTCATAATCATTACTTCATTACGAGAAATATACATTGAATAATTCTTCTCTTCGTTTTCACTTTTTAACATACCAAACACAATGGCTAAATACTTGGGAGGTAAGTGTAAATAGTTCTGGTAGAGAAGCGGTTCTCAGCTTTTTTAGATTTAAGGTATCCCTCAGTAGACTCAAGGTGCTTCAGAAAGTGTCAGCTCTAACTTTCCACTGCGTTTTTGACTGCAGAAAAAATAAGGCAATTCTTCTGTAACAAAAACCTTAGAAAGACCACAACAGGTCAGAATGTTTTTGACACTGTAGATTCCTATTGAAAATGTCTGGGTTTACCTTGCGAATCATGTTTTTCAACGCCTAACAGTGACTATAATTTGTGGCACCCTGCAGCACCCTTGAAAGGGTCTTGCGGTACCAGAATCACTGCAGTAGAGTGAAAGAAGAACAGCAACACATTTTATCTACACCAGGTCATCCAAGGTTCCCCCTGACAACAGGGAAAGACAGCACAGTAATGCAAACTTCGCTTATTATTCTCTGATGCCTCATAACAGTGGGCCACATCTCCAAGCTGGCCATTATGTACAATCTTCACCCTTTTACAGGATGTCTTCCACTTAAGAGACTGTAAATTTAAAATGTACGAGTAAATTGGACGAGTAAATTAAGCCTCTGGGAGACGGGGAGGATATGTGATTCTCAATTGGGTGCCTAGAGATCCTTTCAAGAGCGCCCTGGGATGCTATGCAAGGTTTGCACTGTTAGGTGTACAAATGTGATTCGCAAGATAAACCCAGAAATTCTGAAGAAGAATCCATTGTGTCAAAACCACTCTGACCTGCTGTGGTCTTTCCAAGTTCTTCGCAACAGAAGAGCTGCTCTGGTATTTTCCTGTAGTCAAACATGATGTGGAGACTCAGAGGTGGCATCTTCTGAGAGAGGCTTTGAGTTTAAGAAGGGCCATCTCACATCCATCCAGGGGTGCCTTGAGTTGAAAAAGAAATGGAAAAACTGCCGATTGAGACACAGGGAGAACTGAAACACAGCAAGGCTAATTCCGTAACTTGGTTACATTGGCATGGGGAAGTCCCAGGCCTGGGGGAGGCCACGGGTCACTTGATTGCCCATCTTGTGCCTTCCCCACTGGCCCACGCTTCCTCTTTCACGTTCCCAGGTCCAACACACCCGTGGGAGCTGCCCAGCTAGGACCAGGGCTGCGAGGCCACTGGTGGATGCCAGGCACATCTGAGGCAGGAGGAGCATGGGGCACAGGGAAGAAACCACAACCCTGGCAGCAAAGAGCTATAGGATCAAGGGCTAACCCCAACCCCAGCCCCTCCCTTGGCAGCCGTGCACTCCTGACTCGGGTCAAGCACACGAGCCTGTGCTTCCCTGGAGGCACTGGCATATGCTTGGGCGGGGGGCATCATACCAATCCCTCAAGCAAAGCCCCATACCCCCCTGGAGATATCCCCCCCGGTCTCCAATCTGTTGCCCCAGTCTCCAGGGAAACACCCCGTCTCCAGGGGGATGCCCTCCAGCCCCCAGGGAAATGCCCCCCTCGCCCCTCCAGGGAGACCCACCCCCCCGGTCTCCAGGGAAACCCCTCCACTGCCCCTGGCCTCCGAGGAGACATCCCCCCTCAGTCCCCCCAGTCTCCAGGGAGATCCCACCCACAAGGTCTCCAGCCCCCCTTAGTCTCCAGGGAAACCACCTCCCCAACTCCCCCTGCTCTCCAGGGAGACACCCTCCAGCCCCCCAGGTCTCTAAGGAAATGCCCCCAGGGCTCCAGGGAGCCCCCCCGGTCTCCCGGGAAACACTCCTCCCAACTCTCCCTGGTCTCCAGGGAAATATCCCCCCCTCCACGGTTTCCAGGGAAACGCCCCCGCCCCCCCGTCTCCAAAGAGACGCTCCCCAACGCCTCAGCTGCGCTCCTACCCGCCCCCCGCGCCTGTCCCGCGGAGGACAAAGGGCCCGGCCCCACTCACCGGCGGCCTCTCCGCTCCGCACAGGCCGAGTCGAGCCGGGCCTCAACAAAACTTTATTGGTCCGCGCCTAGGGGACAAGGCGGCAGCGGGCGGCAGGGGCCGGACGAGGACCCGGATGTGCGCGAGGGGGCGGAGCGCGCATGCGCCGGGGGCCGCGGAAGGGGGCGGGCTGAGTCCCAGCCGCCTCCCTCAGCTCAGTGCTGGGCGCGCAGCCTTGAGACGCGGTCTTCTCGTCTCCTCGCAGCGGTACCAAACCCTGCAGCGCGAGACAGACACCAACAAGTGTCATTTGCCATAAAACAAGAAGGGGGAAAAAACCTTTTTTTTGTACAGCTCGAGTGAAACCCCCCTGTCCTCAGCCTGGAGCCGCCTAATGCTTCTCCTCAGGCTGCACAGAGGGCCCAGGCTGTCTTGCAACTCCTTTTATGGAGTATGCACCTCATGGAGCAAATCACTGCCAGTTATTTGAATGCTGGTACCCAGCAAAATCCTCCCCTGCTACGAGCAAAATGCAACTCATGGCCCTGCAATAGCTGGCACGGGTCCCACCCTCGCATCTCTGCCCAATTTGCTGGAGATTTCTCTTCCTTTGCATCTACGTGCCTTTAAAAAAACCTCAGCTGCTGATGAGGAATTACAGAATAAATCCTGCCTAATAAAACAGGAGCTAATGAAAAACATACGGGACAGTTTGAAAAAAAGAAAACAGCTCTTCGAGCAAATACCGTGCTAGACAAGGGTGCGATTTTTGTACCAGAAACAATACAACCGT